TGGGAATGGGGCTGGGGTCACCAGGGATCCCTGGGAATGGGGCTGGGGTGACCAGGGAGCAGTGGGAATGGGGCTGGGGTCACCAGGGATCCCTGGGAATGGGGCTGGGGTGACCAGGGAGCAGTGGGAATGGGGCTGGGGTCACCAGGGAGCAGTGGGAATGGGGCTGGGGTCACCAGGGAGCAGTGGGAATGGGGCTGGGGTCACCAGGGATCAGGGGGAATGGGGCTGGGGTCACCAGGGAGCAGTGGGAATGGGGCTGGGGTCACCAGGGATCCCTGGGAATGGGGCTGGGGTGACCAGGGAGCAGTGGGAATGGGGCTGGGGTCACCAGGGAGCAGTGGGAATGGGGCTGGGGTCACCAGGGATCAGTGGGAATGGGGCTGGGGTCACCAGGGATCAGGGGGAATGGGGCTGGGGTCACCAGGGAGCAGTGGGAATGGGGCTGGGGTCACCAGGGATCCCTGGGAATGGGGCTGGGGTCACCAGGGAGCAGTGGGAATGGGGCTGGGGTCACCAGGGATCAGAGGGAATGGGGCTGGGGTTACCAGGGATCAATGGGAATGGGGCTGGGGTCACCAGGGAGCAGTGGGAATGGTGTTGGGATCCCACTGACTTCTGGGACAGTGCTGGGATCACCAGAAGCCTTTAGGATGGTTTTGAGATAACCTGGGTCGCCTGGGATGGTTCTGGGATCACCAGGAGCCTTTGGGATGGTTCTGGGATCACCAGGACCCTTTGGGATGGTGCTGGGATCACCAGGAGCCTTTGGGATGGTTCTGGGATCACCAGGAGCCTTTCCCCTGGGAGCACTGCCCTGCAGCTCTGGGAGCCTGTCCAGTGCCCTGGACATGGAACAATTCCTAAACACGAGCCTGTGCAGCACCCAGCCCCCTCTGGAGATCAAACCTTCCCCTGACAGCAATCCCAGCTCTCCTGGCACACGGATTTACCCCTGGACATGGAACAATTCCTAAACACGAGTGTGGCTCACCCCTGCCAGCCCCGGGGCTCCCTCTGCTGTGCCTGAGCCCTTTCCCTGTGGATTCCCAGCATTTCCAGGCTCTGCAATCTGCTTTGGGTTGCATTTGGTTCCTTTTGGGTCCTTCTGTGACACTTTTTTGTCCCCATCCCCACAGGGCTACGATGACACGTACGCAGAGCAGAGCTACGAGGGCTACGAGGGCTACTACAGCCAGGGCCAAGGGTGAGTGGGTGGGGTTCCCTCTTCCCAAAGGAATGCTGCATGGCCTTTTCCCCCTTTTTCCCCCCTTTTTCCCCCCTTTTTTCCCCCCTTTTTTTTCCCCTTTTTTTTCCCCTTTTTTTTCCCCTTTTTTTCCCCTTTTTTTCCCCTTTTTTTCCCCTTTTTTTCCCCTTTTTTTCCCCTTTTTTTCCCCTTTTTTTCCCCTTTTTTTCCCCTTTTTTTCCCCTTTTTTTCCCCTTTTTTTCCCCCCTTTTCCCCCCGTTTTCCCCCCTTTTCCCCCTTTTTCCCCCTTTTCCCCCTTTTTTAATCCCATTTGAAGCCAATGGAAACATTCCTGAGCTCTGCTGGAATCCAGGACTCAGAGCATCTTCTTTTTTCCTGGTTTTTGTGGCAGTGTGGGAATGGGATTTGCCTGTGTGTAACCACCTCGTTGCTTTTGCAGGGATACAGAATATTATGATTATGGACATGGGGAGGCACAGGAAACCTATGAAGCTTATGGTATGTCTGGGAATTCTGGGATAAGGAAGGGCTTGGGAATTGCTTGTGGTCAATTTTGCTGTTTTCCAATGTCTGGATAAAAAACTGAGGAGAACCTCGTGGTGTTTTTATTTAGGTCTGAACAGCCTCTCTGTGGGTTTAGGTTGGTCTCAATCTTGATTGTCTCAAAGGTGATGCTTTTTAAAAAATGCATTTTTTATCTCTGGAAATGTTTTAATTTCCTTGTAGCTTTAGAATATTTCAGGAGGTCTGGATTTCCACCCACAGCACTTGTGCTGCAGTCTGGTTTTCATGGGCTGGGTTTTATATGGTTCCATCTGCTTCCTTTATCCTCACAATCCCTGAGCCTGACTCTGGGCTGCAGATCTGCCCAAAAATTGGGATTGAAGTGTCATGAGGAGCCTCTCCTTGGCTCTGTGGAGCCACTTTGGCTCTGTAGGCAGAGCTTAGCTAATCTGAATTATGTAAAACTCCCAGTTTAGACTGGGCTGAGCCAAAATTTGGTGATTTAACCCCAAAGGGCAACCACTCCCCACTCTCACTCCCCACCCTTGGGACAGGGAGAGAATTGGGAGGGTAAAAGTGAGGGAATGACCGGGCTGGGCTAAAGTTCAGCAGGAAAAGCAAAATAACCCAAGGAATTCACTCCCTGCTTCCTTGGGAAGACGTTCCAGAGCTCCCTCCCTGCCTCTGCTGCCCTCAGCTGTGGCTGTGTTTATTTCTGAGGGCAGTTCCCATGGCCATTGGGATGGCATCTGGCTGTGGCAGTGAGAGGGAACCATCGTCCCTGTCCCAGAGCAGCCTCTGGGTTCATCTTCCTCCCCAGGGCTGCTCTGGCACTGACTCTGGATTTGTGCTGAGCTTCGTTGGTGCTGGGCAGGGCTTGGACAAATTCCCAAAGCTCTCCTTAAAGGTGTGGAATTCCATGTGGCTGGAGCTGTCCCTTGCACAGCTGAGGGAGTGCAGGTGGTGACATTCCTGGCCAGCTGGAGATCCCTGGGAGCTGGGAGTTCATGTCCTGGCACAGTTAGGGAAGCAGAGGTGTTGTCTCCTGCTCACCCTGCTCCAGGCTTAAATCCAGATCCAGGAGCCTCGGGGTGCTCCCTGCTCCAGGTTTAATCCCAAACCCAGGAGCCTTGGGGTGTTCCCTGCTCCAGGTTTAATCCCAAACCCAGGAGTCTCAGGGTGCTCCCTGCTCCAGATTTAAGCCCAAATTGAAGAGCCTAAGGACTTTCCCTGCTCCAGGTTTAAATCCAGTTGCATTGAGGCATTCCCTGCACCAGATTTAAATCCAGGAGCCTTGGGGTGTTCTCTGCTGCAGGTTTAACCCCAAACCCAGGATCATTCAGGCATTCCCTGCTCCAGGTTTAACCCCAAACCCAGGAGCATTGAGCTTTCCCTGCTCCAGGTTTAACCCCAAACCCAGGATCATTCAGGCATTCCCTGCTCCAGGTCTAACCCCAAACCCAGGAGCCTTGAGGCTTTCCCTGCTCCAGGTTTAACCCCAAACCCAGGATCATTCAGGCATTCCCTGCTCCAGGTTTAACCCCAAACCCAGGA